CCAAAAAACGTTAAAGGACTACTTCGAGATAAATTTGAATACTACAGTAGAAAAAAGAACGATCTGGGACGCAAGTAAAGCCGTTATGAGAGGGTTTCTGATTCAACAAAACAATCAAGAAAAAGCTCTGGAATGGAAAGAAGGATAAAATATTGAGAAGATACATCAAGGAGAGAAAAAATGAGAACCAAACCAAAGTCAAAGGAGGTGCTGAGAGAAATCAAATTCCATCAAGCACAATATTCTAAACTGATAAATCAAGAGATTGAATGGAAAATCAAACAGATGAAACAAAGATCATTTGAATCAGCAAATAAGTGTGGAAAACTGCTTGCTTGGCAGTTGAAGAAAAGACAGAAGCTAAATACAGTTACAAATCTAGAGATTGAGGGAAAAATGGTGCAGAAACCAGAAGAAATTAGGAAGTGCTTCCACAGATACTTTAAAGAACTCTACGCACAAGGGCCTCAGAAAGAACCTGAGATAGACCAATTTTTAAAGACAAATGGACTTCAAAGATAACCCAAGATAAAAGATCAATCTTGAACTCAACAATAACCTCACAGGAAATCGAAGGTGCCATTCAGAATATGCAACTAGGCAAATCTCCAGGCCCGGATGGACTTACCTCTAAATATATACTTTGAAGGACTATTTGATACAACCTCTGTTAGAGGTTTGCAACCAGATTATGGAGGGGAAGAAGACACCGGAGTCGTGGAAAGAAGCCTTCATCACATTGATTCCGAAAGTGGAAAACGGAAAAGAACCAACTTAAGAACTACCGTCCCATCTCACTCTTAAATGTGATTACAAAATATTTGCTGACATTTTTGGCAAGCAGACTTAAAAAGGTTTTAAATGAAGTAAATTCATAAAGATCAAGCTGGCTTTCTCCCTGGTAGACATTTATATGAGAATACCAGGAACATCATTGATATTTTGGAGCTTTGCAAACTAACAGGAACACCAAGGGCCGTGTTAATTTTTATGATGCGGAGAAAGCATTTGACAATATATCTTGGTTGTTTATGAAGAAAAATTTGGAAGGATGGGAGTGGGACGGGGGTTTGAAAATGGAATACAAGCAATTTATTCTGAGCAGAAAGCTAAACTAATAGTGAATAATTGTGGTGTCGGAGGAATTCAAAATTGAAAAAGGGACACGACAGGGTGCCCTCTATCCCCTCTTTTGTTCATTTCAGTCCTGGAGGTGCTATTGAACATGATAAGGAGGACCGGAGGGTACAAGGGATAGAGGTCGGAGTGAAACAATACAAACTGAAAGCTTTTGCAGATGACTTAGTTTTGACATTGCAGGAGCCAGAACCCCAGTACAAAAGAGCTCTTGAACTTATATCTGAGTTGTCGAGTGGCGGTTTAAACTGAATAAACAAAAAACTAAGGTTCTGACTAAGAATTTGACACCTACAGAAACAGAGGGATTTCAGAGAGAAACAGAATTAAATGTGGTCAAAAAAGTGAAATATCTAGGGATTAATTTGTCTTCCAAAAATTTGAATTTATTTAAAGATAATTATGAGAAATGTTGGCTGGAAGTTAAAAAAGATTTAGAAATTTGGTCAAGATTGAAACTGTCCTTGTTGGGAAGAATTGCGGCTATAAAAATGAATGTATTGCCGAAAATGTTGTTCTTGTTTCAAACCTTGCAGATCGTGGACAGAGTGGAATGTTTTGGAAAGTGGCAGAAGGACATATCTAGGTTTGTCTGGCAGGGCAAAAAGCCCCGAATAAAGTTCAAAATACTAACTGACTCAAAAGAAAGAGGGGGGTTTGCCCTGCCGGACTTAAGGTTGTATTATGAAGCTGCAGCCTTCTGCTGGTTGAAAGACTGGTTTTTGCTGGAAAAATACTGATGTCCTAGATCTGGAAGGTTTTGATAATGCTTTTGGTTGGCATGCATATCTATGGTATGACAAGGCTAAGGCCCATAAATTGTTCAAAAACCACATTGTCAGAAAAGCAATTTTGCAGTCTGGATGAAATATAAAGACTTATTAGAGTGCAAAACACCGAGGTGGCTATCACCGGTGGAGGCCAAGGCCCGAAAAAGACTCAATATGGAGGCCTACTGGCCGAAATATTGGGAATTAATAGAAAGTATTGGAGACAATTGGAAGCTGCAGAGCCAGGACAAATTAAAAATAAGGTGCGAGACTGGTTACATTATGCTCAAATTCAAGAGGTTTTTAAAATGGATAAAAAGGTGGGTTTCCAGGTGGAAAAATCGAAACTAGAGACAGAATTGTTAGAACCAAAGACTAAGACTTTATCGAGAATGTATAACTTGCTGCTTAAATGGAATACACAGGATGAGGTAGTTAAATCTGCCATGATAAAATGGGCACAGGATGTTGGACATAACATAATGTTTGAAGACTGGGAAAGGTTATGGAACACCGGAATGAAGTTCACGGCATGTATTGCCTTGAAGGAAACATTATGAAAATGGTATACCGGTGGTACATGACCCCAGTCAAGCTAGCTAAAATATATCACCTGTCCGACAACAAATGTTGGAAATGTAAGGAGGCAGAAGGGACATTTTTCCACCTCTGGTGGACCTGCCCAAAAGTGAAGGCCTTCTGGGAAATGATACATAATGAATTAAAAAGGTATTTAGGTATACCTTTTCTAAGAAACCTGAGGCCTTCCTGCTGGGTATGGTGGACCAGAAAATGTCAAAGAAGGATAGAACTTTGTTTATGTATGCAACTACAGCAGCAAGAATACTCATCGCAAAGAACTGGAAGACACAAGATTTACCCACGCTGGAGGATTGGCAGTCGCAGTTGATGGACTACATGGAATTAGCTGAGCTGACTGGCAGAATCCGAGATTTGGATGAAGAAATAATCGAGGGAGACTGGAGAAAATTTAAAGACTATTTGCAAAAACATCATAAGCTGTATGAATCTTAAGTCAGTGCATGATTTAGAAATACTATGCTTTGGCAAACAGGATTAAGTAAATGTTAAAATAAGTGGTAAAAAAGAAAAGGAGACAATTTAAATTGAATCATGTTATGTTTATTTTTAAAAAGCATTGAAATTAAGGTACAATATATTGAATTTGGATGCATAACAAATTGAAAGTTACAATAAGGTATGAAACAAGGTAACAAATTGCTGACAGTATTAAACTATAAAGAATGCAGTTCCGGAGGGTGTGGGGAAGTCCAAACATGGAATGGTTTATATACCTTTTTTGGTTTGATCTTTAATTTGTTTTTGAATGTAAAAGAAAAGAAAAAATTGTTTCTTGCATTTAATGTTTTTGTGGTGTTTGGATTGTTTGAAGTTATGGAAAGGAACGCAATAAAAAATTTATTAAAAAAAAATAAAAAAAAAAAGCATGCCATCTAAGCAGTTACTCAGGAGATGCTAGCTGTGCAACTTGACATTTACGTACCATGTCTCCAAAATGATTCATTCCCAGTCTGTAGCTGTGCTTGCCCAGGCTGTGGTCCAGGTTGTGCAATTCAATCATCTTCAGGTTTTTCTCCCAGATCATTCTTCTCCAGCCTTCCTCCTTCTAAAAGGGGAAGAAAGCAACAAGGAAAACTGAGCACCCAACATCCTCTAACAGCTAAAGACATAGGCTCAATTCAGACAACAGACCATAGTTTGGGTTCTAAACCATAGTTTGTGACAAACCATGGTTGGAACCTCTGTATATTCCTGCAAACCATGGTTGCTTCCCTGTTTTGGTTTCCCCATCTATTTGGTATAGCTACGGCTCCAACTGCCATAGGCTGCTGCAACTATGGTTTGTAAAGTCACGCACCACACCAAATCATGGTATCCAGTTCTGGTTTACTGGCTCATTACAAATCATGATTTGTCCATCCAGGCATCATGCCAAGCCAGACTTCTTAAATGTGGTTTGCAATGACATCTGAATCGAGCAATGAAAAGCATGCCTAGCTTTTCTTTGCTGCTCTAAGCAGCTTACCATTGCTATGAAAAACATTTCAAACATTAGCCCTAATATTTGAGTAGTTCATACTTAACATGACTACTCTTGCTAGCTTGGTATTCCCATATAAAAGGAAGCTACATTTTTTTGTTCTCAAGATGAGACTTATTCAAGCAGCAAAATAATATTGAGAAATTCTTTTTGTATCTGATAATAAAGTATCTAGAGCACTTGAGTCTACCTGTACAAATTGTCTGCTTGCTGTATGCCTCTGAATCACAACTGGGGAGAACAGTACTTCAGATCCTGCTTGCCTGCTTCTCAAAGGAATCTGGTTGGTCACTGAGGGACCAGGATACTGGACTAAAAAGGTGTTCATTATGTTCTTAACTACGATCTGCTATACCAGTAACTCTCAGATTATTGAAGTGTTGTCTGTGTCCCCTAAGGTGGCAATTATACCCAAATACCTAGGCTGGCAGATGGTTTCACCAACAGATACATGAACCATTCATACAACTTTTGCTACCGCACGTTTTCTGAACACCTTTTGCCCATGCACACTGAGAGCTATGTAGTGACACTCACCTCATGGTACTTCTTGTTATGCCACGATTTCCACATGCCCCAGTGATCATCCAAAGCAGGGTCCAGGCCTGGGGCAGCAAAGCACGCCTCCAAACTTAGGGCCAAAACGCAGAGATAGAACTTCATGGTGAAACCTCTCTATAGGGCAAGAAAAAGATCTGATTAGACAGCAATCTCTCCTTCACTTTCAGTGAGGAACCAATAGACAGAAACAGTTTAATCCCCACTGATGAGGCCATGCAAACTACACAGAAATGAAATTCACTGAAGAGAGAATAAATTACTTGTTTAAAGTTTTGGTATAAATGCACCACAGCGCTACCACAAAAGGCATCTAGTATGTATATACAACGTGTTTCAGATTGTGGTTCTGCGGCAAGTGAAAAACGAGCACCAGAAACTAACTAAATGAGATACAGTGGTACCTCAGGTTACATACGCTTCAGGTTACAGACTCCGCTAACCCAGAAATAGTGCTTCAGGTTAAGAACTTTGCTTCAGGATGAGAACAGAAATCGTGCTCCGGTGGCATGACAGCAGCAGCAGGAGGCCCCATTAGCTAAAGTGGCGCTTCAGGTTAAGAACAGTTTCAGGTTAAAAACGGACCTCCAGAAAGAATTAAGTACTTAAGCCGAGGTACCACTGTATATGAAAGGCCTGTTCAAGCAACTACTAAGCCTAGGTTCCCCAATCCTGCCAGATGTCCACAAATCACATCTCTAACAATCCTATACTTTATTATTACAGCCCCCACCCACCGCACAAATATTCAATCGGAGTGAATTAGATTGGCTGCTTTACAAACAGATTTTTCCTTTGCAGGTTAGATAACTAAGGACAGCGACCTTTCCCCCCACCCCTCCCCAAATGTACTTTTCTCAAAGCCCTTGTCGAAGGCTGAAGAAAAACAGGAGGGGTCTGTAAAAGCATTTTAATAGCTGGCGCTTTCAGAAGCCTCCCTGGATACCGATATGAGTCATCAGGCATTTTCCAGGAATCACTTCCGCTCTCCCGACATCCCAGTCTGGGGCGGAGTACCAAGGGGGGGGGGTGCAAAAAAAAAAAAAAAAAAAAAAGCCCAAACCCAGCACGTGACCCCGCTCCAGTAAACAGACACGCGAGCGCCCCTCACATGATAGGCGGCCGAGGGGGGAGGGCGCTCAGGCCCAGTGTAAACAAGCCCGTTTGGATCCTGATCCGGAGCCAAATCGCTTGGGGGAGGGCGGCGCTGGAGCAGGAGCGCGCTGCGCTCTAGTTCAGAAAAGGACAAGGGGGAAATCCCTCAAGCCAGGAGAAGATGAGAAATCCCAGCGCTGGGCTGCCTGGAAGGGAGAGAAAGACCCGCGCAGCAGCCAGCTGGGAAGGAAGGGTCTGGGACCCACCCCAGTTGGGTGCGCCCTAGAAAACGCGCACAAGCAAATCGGGCGCGCCCCAAATCCCCGCTACTCCCACTTCGAAAAGATGGGCAAGGGGGCTCATCGGAGCGCTGCCCACCCCAAGGAAAAATAGATAAGCTCAGCCGAGCGCCCAGGCGCCTCCTTGCCCTTCGCTCGCCGATCAAGATACACACAAAAACACCCCGTTAAACGGGCAGCGACGCCTCCAGGATTCCTTTCTCCACCGGGGAGAAGGAGCCCGAGTGGCTCCGAGCATCAATGGGGCAGCCAAGGGAGCCCCCTTCTTCTCCCCAGGCCCCCGTTAGCGGCAGGGAGCGGGATGCTGGAGACCCCGCGCTCAGCCATTACCCAGAAAGGCCCGCGGAGAGGAGCGAAATGGAGGCTCTTGGCGACCTGCCGGCGCTTGCAAACCCACCTTGTCGGCCCCGGGAACAGAACACCCTCCTCGGCTGGCCCCGGCTCTGGCTTGTTTCGGGCCGGGGGCTTTGCTCTAAATGTGCCCGGCTTGCCGAAGCCCGGCCCCTGTTGCGCTTCGATTGGCTGCCCGGCGCCGAGGCGGAGCGAGGGCTAATCCTGCCGAAGTTCGTGACTCCCGATCCCGTGATCCGAAGCGGTGCCCGGACCTGTTCCGTGATGGAAGAGCGGGAGGGGGTGCTGTTTTGTTTTTATGGGAAGCAGTGGGGCGGCCGAGGACAAGGACCCATACCCTGGCTCGGTGGTGGCGTTTGCTGGGAAATGATAGAGGCACAAGCTGTTCGATATGTAATGCAGTTATAATAAGATACTCAGCAAGGCGAGGGAAATCCTGTTTCAAAACAATGCCAGGGGGGAAAGGAGACGTTGCAAGCAGATATGATCCCAATGCCCCGAAGCGCAGCCAAGGCGCATTCAGGCCATTTTACCTCGCAAGACAAGGCGTGGTTCTCTTCGTCCAACTCAAAAGCCCTCGCCGCCTGCAAAGCGCAAAAACAAAGCAGCAGACGGTTTACAAGACATCGGACTACAACTAAATAAAATGCAGATGAACTCGGGTTTCTTTATGTTTTGTGCTATGCATGTCTCCAGGGGCGCATCTAGGGGTTGGTGGTTGTTGTTTAGTCATTTAATCGTGTCCGATTCTTCGTGACCCCCTGGACCAGAGCACGCCAGGCACTTCTGTCTTCCACTGCCTCCCACAGTTTGATCAAACTCATGCTGGTAGCTTCAAGAACACCATCCAACCATCTCATCCTCTGTCGTCCCCTTCTCCTTGTGCCCTCCATCTTTCCCAACATCAGGGTCTTTTCTAGGGAGTCTTCTCATGAGGTGGCCAAAGTCTTGGAGCCTCAGCTTCACGATCTGTCCTTCCAGTGAGCACTCAGGTCCGATTTCCTTCAGAATGGACAGGTTTGATCTTCTTGCAGTCCATGGGACTCTCAAGCGTCTCCTCCAGAACCATAATTCAAAAGCAACAATTCTTCGGCGATCAGCCTTCTTTATGGTCCAGCTCTCACTACTGGGAAAACCATGGCTTTAACTATACGGACCTTTGTTGGCAAGGTGATGTCTCTGCTTTTTAAGATGCTGTCTAGGTTTCTCTAGGGGTTGGTTAGATTGGCCCAATTGGCGCAGACAGGATTTTTGCTGGGGGGGGGGACAGGACTTTTGTTGAGGAGGGGGCAGAACCGACGTCATTGGTCAGTAAGTTAAGTACTGTACAGTATTTTTTTTGTTTAACTTGAAGGGGGGCAGCTGCCCTCCGCCCATGGTTGGCCCCCACCATGGGCACAACAATAATGACACGGGCAGGTAATCTCTGCATTGTAGCAATGGTGGCTCCATTTTTCTCCATGTCTAGGTGTTTGTACAAAACCCAACTGTCCATCAGAAAGGCAGAGCCTACTTCCCATTCCTGTTTATGTCACATCCCATCATCATACTCAGGACAATATGAACTAGGCCTGCTCAGTTAATGATATCAGAAGTTGCTTTGAGAAAACAAGTCGGATCATTGGTACTGCTCAGGCTGGCTGGCTGCAGCGCCTAAAGATCTCAGGTGTCATTCTCAAGTTTGCTATCCGAAACCCCAGATGGCAGAAGTTGAACCCAGGACTTTATTCCATGCCCCTGACCTACGGGCTCTGAGCTCTGCTGGCTACAGCTCAGGCCTGAAACATTTTTTAATGCCCCGTAGCAAATAAATAAAAAATGATTGTATAGAAACCACTCTGGGAGCCTTTTTGGCTGAAGGGCGGGGTGCAAACACTCAAAATAAATAAAATTTTGAGTTGTGCAGCCCAAAATTCTCCTTGATTTTACTGCTAAGCAGTTGATATGTAGGATGATAGTCTTAGAAAACATTTTCATTGACATCTGTGCCTTTCCCTCACAGAGGGAAACATTTTCTTTATTTATTTTAACGAAATAAAAGTAACAGAGTGATGATAACTAAATTTAACCTGCGTCAGACTCTGTGGTCTAGTATTGTCTACTCAGGCTGAAGTTGCTAGGGGCTCTGAGACCTTAAAATGCAAATAATGTCATCTGTCATGGACTGTCCTTCACTCATTATCAAATTCTTTATTCGTCTTTAAACTTACTGGTTTTGATGCCGATTTTTCAATACCTTCAGAACTCACAAAACAGGTGCACACACATATTTTTTTTACATAATTCCATTGGTCTCTCACCTTCCTTAAAGCAGCTCAGATGCAGATTAATATTGTATATATTAAAACAGCCCTCTGAGGCTGGGAGATTTTCTTTTGTCCATTATCACCCAAAGAGCTTCATAGCCAAGCAGAGATCTCAATGTTTGTGCTTTCAAGCATAACACAGTACTCAAACAAAAAACTCCAAAACACAATTTAGAAGTTATTGTAGCATTTTAATTTCCTTAAATGAATGCATAAAATTTTGAGGTAAACACCATAATACTCTCTGTCTGGAGTTCTAAAAGTACTATCCTATGCAGGTTTACTTGGAAGCAAGTATCACTGGATTCAATGGAAATGCTCAATGGGATTTTGCTGTAATTCTGCAATCCTTTCTTTGGGTCTTATTTTTGACTAGGCACACAAAGAATTAGGATGTTGCTTAACTGTAATCCAATGCATTTGATAAATACAATTAGTATTACACTGAAAATAGCATTTCTGTTGAGAAGTAATTTCAGTGTGTTGTTGTTGTTTAGTCATTTAGTCGTGTTCGACTCTTCGTGACCCCATGGACCAGTGTACAACCATGCAAAGGTTTAACGTTGCACAAAACCCCAAATCTAAACACATCTATACATGTGCACACATCAGCCTCTAGTTCTCAGTAGGCTTACTTTTTACATATTTTACATATTTACATATTTACTTTTTACTTTTACAGACATATATTTTACTTAACATTAGTGTAAATCTCAATAAATTTAGTGACAGTTGCAAGTGGGTAGAAATGTAAGACTGTAACAGATTTGCTTTCATATGTGTAACTTTAATATGCATTAATAATCCAGTTGTGCAAACAAAAGTAAAAAACCCCACAATTTAAAGTTTGACAGTGAAATTATAATAACCACAAATGACTTAAGTTGCATTTAAATTCAGATATTATTTTTGAAACCAATAAGACTTATATCAGTGTAAGTGTAAGGGGGTCCCCTTAGATAGGTTCACATTATATAAAGTTTCCAATCCTTTGCTTCTTTTGTATTTGGACTTTTACAAACTTTAAACAACATTCAGGAGATTCATCAGGTAA